TTTTTTACTCTCATTTTTATAAAATGCTTCTCTTTTTTAATGTTTCATTTTGGACATAAAACGCACCACAATAAAATGTAAATTTGCTGTTATGTTTGAGATGGAATTTTTGCGGTAATTTCGCGCATTCATCGAGTTGTTTGCACAAATTTATGTGTTCAAAGTTGTTTTGCACTGTGCTGACGATAAAAATTGGTGTAAATTCGGAACAATAATGCAATGTTGGCAATAAGGTGAATACATCTATTGTAGAGATGATCGAAAGTGACCGTTGGTGGTGCACAATAACGATTGTTCGAGTTGAACGCAAAAAGCAATCGCCTTTAAGGGGATATAGATATGAAACAAGAAACTGATCAAACGATTGTGACACATCAAAAGATCACTGTAATCAGCATCACAAGGATTTTGAAGAATTCGATGAATCTGTTAAAGTTTTCATTCGGATTAATGCTTTGTAGATGCAGGAGATAGTTTTGAAGAGTTGATGTGATGTAAGAGAAACGATTAGAAAATATGATCACAACAATAATTTCAAGCGTTTATTTAACTTGAAAAAAGAATAAAACTATATAAAAACTAAAACCACTTATAAAATTAATAAGTAACGTAACAGTAACTGTGGAAAATACAATGCTTTAATAATTTGATATTATAATACATCACAAGTTTTGCATCAATTTACATAAACAACCCGGAAATGGTAAAAAGATATTTTATATGGATGTGTATAGTACAACAGCTTGGAGTTTCACGAATATTTTCTACAGGTATTGACGTATTTGGAGACTATTTTCCAAAATGAAGGTACTGTTCACTCAACGAGTTACTCGAACATCTCTCTTTCAATCTACTCGAATAGTGGTATTTACTTTTGTCGCCATGATGGTGAAAGGAACTTGGAGTTTAGGCCTTACATAAAGTACAGATAAAATTATCAAAAACAAAGAAATAACGCTCGTGATCTGTGGAAGACAAGTGATCATAACGGGGCATTTGCTTGATATGTTGTCTGTGATTTATTGTTGGAGCCGCAATAATAAAATTTATACACATAAGAATACGAATGTGAAATTGACCTCAGTTGACGAATAAACTTATGAGAGTTGGGCTGATGTTTAGCGATAAACAAGACAAAATGGTTCGAATCAATGGCAACTGTCAATCGGAATAAAGCTCGCGGTCAATAATAATCATGACTCCAACTCGAGTTTATGCCAGTATTCACTAGAACTACCCGGATTCTGCACACAATTGATCCACTGTTTTTGGCGATCGCCTTTTGCTGACGCCGACAGAAGAATACCACCTAAAATGAAATGTTCAGTCGTTCCACTGGCTGTGTTAGCGAGACTGATTTACTCTCATTCAAGAAGATCATCATCATTAATAAATTGCAAAGTTTACCAATGTAATCATCTTGTTTGCCAACGTCACGATCATAAACACCAATTTGTAATGTCTTCTTGGGTAAGTCTTTGAATGGAACAACAAATGAGAGAGTCTGAAAAGTAATTACATCACTGCTAGTCTTATTGAGTGATTCTATCATTAATACTCTCATCAATGCAACTGCGACAGTAACAGTTTTACTCAGAATGAAACAATAACGCTCATTATAGTTTGACGCTTTAAATAGAAACATAGATGATATTCCGTCGATCTGACAGAATGCAACTTCATCAGAAAAAATTCAAAATTTATTGATGAAGAGGCTTTAAATGATCAGAGTGGATTAAAATTGAGATCGTTCTGAATTGTGAAAAATCAGTGGAATTTAAGATGACATACTTCGTTGAATTCTGGATTTAGAGTTCTCTTTTTTGTTGATGTTTTTTGACGATGCGTTTTTGAGGTTAAAGGGATGAGTGCACTGCAATAATGATTAATGATAGGCAATGTGATCAAGATACAAATGAATTTCGTTCCCACACAAGCTTACTACAGCATTGACATGCATTCAAACGACTTACTTTAGGTTCATCTTGAATGTTAAGTGCAAAAGTTTCAAAATTCATTCGTTAATATATGACCAAATATCAAATGTTCATCGAAAATTTTCATAGTCATGAAAACCTTCGACAGTTTTTCAAATTCTCGAAAAATGTTGCGCAAAATTGAGTTAAATAAACGGTCGATAGAGGAATTCATCGTCGATGACATACTCCATTATACGATAAATATGAAGGTTACAATGGCAAAATGGTAACTAACACTTTGACATATGGATCCGAGAAGCCGGTCGAGTCCATCCCAACTAATTCAACACATCGCTTTATCGAAACGAATAACGATCCCTGTTGAACGCTATACACTAATCCAACGAGAATCTTACCGCGTTCGTCACTATCGAATCTCTTCTCAACCTACAAAACGATCACTTTCTCACGATCTCGCGACGTTATAAATATGAGTGATGCAGTAGCGATTACAGGCATTGCATGCTCCAGATACATATTGAACTTCTTTGGCTGTCCCGGAGTGAGTTTCTTGAGAGCAACACGTGTTTCGCCGAGGAAATCCGAGCCGATCCTGTCTCGGTCGAGAACGGTGATTCGAAGTGTTTTCTTCAAACGATCATCCTCGGTGACACCGTAATAAGTGAAGTCCTCGTTCCACTCGGGATTCAAGCTCTTTTCAATTGTCTTACTTGCTAATTTCGTTGCCTGAAACAGGAATAACTCTTTGAAAAGAAAATCAGTGCTAGAATTCCCAATGAAGATGATCACCAAGTATACGCCATTGAATATCGGATTAAATGAACAACATTGAAAGAAAATAAACACATAATGTTCACCTTAGCTGCACCCGGAATTAAGTAGAATTTCACATACGGATCCGAGAAGCCGTTTTTATCCATTGCTTTTAAATTCTGAAAATAGTGTTCTTTTATGAAGTTACTAATTCATTGGAAGTTATCGTTGTTCAATGATAATTTCATTCATAGAAAGTAGTGATGTGGTGCAGAGAATATCATGAAAATCTATATACAAATTCATCTTGTTTCATTCTCTTCAAATGGAAAGATTCACAAGCAAACGAACCCTCGCTTGTATAAGCTTAATATTGAGCTGGTTTTCATCCGGTAAATACAACAAATCAAACTGAATGGAACCCAGTGTACCTGAAATGAATGTCCGTATTGGCATATATCGCATTTCAACGAACGTTCAGCAAACAAAATGAATAGCTTGTGAAATATGCGATCTTGTTCAGTCAGGCGACACTATCCAATAGAACACGTGCATCATGCAAGTGTAAACCAATCGAAAGACCTAACAAGAGATCGCAGTCAACCAAACTAATCAACTCAGTTGGACTTTTCCGAATGCATATTATGTTGTACAGTTTTTTTGAACGATTTTTCAAGTCGTTACTATCATTCAAGAAATGGAAACCTTGAGTGTGCATGCCACATAGATGAATATGTGCTGTTGGAAATGACTTTTCTGGGATCGAAAAACGATTCATTTCAGTTTTATGGTTTGAAACGTCTAAAATAAATGAAAAATAACACGCAAATGCAATAAACATTCCAAGAAATGAGATTCGATCAGCTAAAAGCAGCTCACAATCAGATTCGAAGTTTAACCACAATCATGAGCTCAGATTCGTCATTCTTGAATTTTTCAATGAACAGTGCTATCGAAATTGGATAAATGTTCATAATCAATTCAACGGAAAACTCCTAATGCCCGTAAGATTCATTCCAATTTGGTTCATTCAAAACAGAAACTTTGGGATAATGAAAATTCTCTGTGATGCGATTGTCTTAATATATGGAACTGAAAATGTGCAAACGTACTTTGAAGCAATCAAATAACGTCGACATGCAAAAATGACGCATCAACTAAATTATTGTTCTACAGTGCTAACAAAATGAAAATAAATAAGCAAATGAATGAAGTGAAAGTGATAAGATAATATGCATACAACCAACACGACGATAACACATGCGAAAAAGCGAATTAATGGCACCGATTTTTAATTTTGTTCGTGAATCCTTTTGTGTTAAGCTGCCAGATACGGTGCGACGGATGTTCTGATGAAGCGAAGAATAGTTTGTGAACATTTTGTTCTTTAAGGATGACGAGGATGAAAACAACGATGATATATTTGATTGTGGATGAGTGACATCTGATTTATTCTGATCTCCTCCTTCGACAAGTGATTGCTTTTGCTGCTGTGGACTCGATAATGAGGCATTTCTCGACGATAACGGCACCTCTGAATATGATGACTATATGCAGTAACACTGCGACTATTACCGTTGATGCAACACTGTCACCATATGATCTCAATAACAATTTCAGTGATCATTTACATGGACCATATGAATGAACACTCATCCATTTTATATGATATTATGGAATGGTGCTCGGGAAGGGGCTTCCAGACGCTTTCTGGTAAATCATCTCCCCCGTGAGTGCACCCGCGACGAGGGATTACTTGAACGGAATCCCTCGCGGAGGAGGTTTTGAAACTCCTGCGAGGCCTAGTATTCTTTGTTTATACCTTAAGGATTATAATTTTTTAGTTTTTGGAGCGTTTTTTCGAACATGGCAATGCAGATTTTTGGTCGTCGTCGGTAGAAAAGTGATCGTGAGAGGACAAAAATGATCTGATTGTTGTATCATCGCAATCTACGGCTTGGAATAGTCAACGCAATTGAATGAATTGATGCGAACTGGAAAGGCAGACCGTGCTTATTGTGTGTTTTAAAAAAAATCAGAATTGACTTCATATTGCCGTCATTTGGTATAACAATTGTTCTGCCCTTTTCTCATCATTGCTGCTATACTTTTAAGAAGGCTTATGCCCCGTGGGAGGAGGAAAGGGGAAGATTAATCCAAATTCCGAACAATAATTGTATATATTTTGTGGCACCATTAATATGAAAACATTTTCTAGCGTGCTTTATGGACTATTACATGAAATATGACGGAAACTTGATGGTCATCACATGCACTCTCCAATATGGATGAATATTCATGCATGCAGAATAAAATACGAATATGCGGTCATGCATTCCAATCGAAACAACAACTATCATGGGTGGTTATCACTACTATTCTGTTAGTAATAATAATAATATTTTCATCACTATCATTATAGAGTGAGTAATTGTTGAATACCTTGAGCGGATGAGCAAGATACTGTTGATTGAGTTTTAGCATGTGTTGGTGTTACTGCAATATCACAAGCCTTATATCCGAATTAAAAAGCAAATAGCTGAATTCAAAGTATGCATATCAAATGTTGGAATGGTGATCTGATGACACCCTTTATTCAGATGATGATCTAAATGCAATGAGTTGCTAGCCATGTAGAAGGCAATTGTTCGTTTTTTGTTACATATCGATAGATTGAAAGTATGCAGCTTTGCTAATTACTTCAAAGGTATTCTATTGCAAAACAAGTTGACGATCACTTATGAGTGTACGCGGAATGCATCAAAAACTGTTCATGACATTTGCAAAAGTTCAAAAGATGGTATTTGTGATGAATACTTTCTGAGCCACTTTCTCTATATAATACAAAATGCAGGCAAAATCATTTCAATAACACAAAAGAGATACTTTTACAATTCTACTGTTACAACAAAACACCTGATTCGAAAACTGGGAAAATAACATCAATCGATCATCATCTACACTACGAGAACAATCGCGAGCGCATTGCAATCACTGAGTTAAAATGAGGTTTCAATGCAGAAAATGAGAAAATCCGATGGAAAATTGTTTAAAGAATGAATGCAAAGTACGGTGGGATTGGAAAAGAGTGAATAAAGTTTTACAGATCAAAAACGATGCAAAAACAAAGAAGTGCTCGAAACTTACTTAATTCATCCTCTGGTGAACTCATGAACGATGTGGTTGGTTCATCCTTAATTTCAACACAATGATTCATTCGGTCATATGGTAACAATTTCTAGGGTTTCATGCATTCTTGAAGCTACCATAAAACTGTGGTTTTTATGCCTCAAAACACCACAAATCAAATTCATCTCTGTCGTAGAGCTGGGGAGTTATCGGGAATTCACTGCGACCAAGTTGGATGGAACTTCAACTGAACGCATTGCTATGCAGAGCTATTTATTTTAGAATAACATTAGCAGAAGTAATGAGCAGTCAAACGAACCTGTTTAATATTCTCAGAAGTGTCTTGAAAGCTTTCGCGATTCGATGTTGTTTTGAGGGGATTACGATGGATCGATGATGTCGATGAGGTAATACTTAGACATCGATCTGGTAAGGAGGATACCTTTGAATTATTACGAGGCGGTATTGGAGGTGGCTCTGTTGGAAATGATGGAGGAGTTGATGTACTTAGCATATCGCTTGATGATCGATTTGGGATGTTTCGAATGAACTGAGATTCTGCTAACGATATGGGAGAACATAGCTGAGGTGGAAGCACCAGAGACGGCGATCTGGAAGGTGTATGTAACGGTGAAATACTACACGCTAATTCCGGTTCGTTAATGGAAGCGGGTTGTGGAAGGACTGGTTGGGTTGGAGATGAAGACGTGTTGGTGGTGCTCGATGCGAGTATCATCGATGAATGGTGACTGATCGAGAGTTGCGCGTTTGTGAACGCCGAATGGTCACTCGGAACAACTGAAATTCACTTGTCCAACAATTATCAGCACTGTCTCTTTTTACTTTTCTCACGACGTTTCCTATGAAATGACGCTTACGTGGTAACACAATATCGCCATCATCTAAATGCTTTCGAATATAGCATAGTATNTATGATATTTATTAATGTAATATTATACATAATAATAAAATATATACACGTATAATATAAACTTGAACAAAAGATCAAAATTCATCAAATAAGTTGGAAATATCGGAGACAACCTCCGGAATCGATAGATTTAGCATCAGATGCGATGATAGAAGATGGATTCTGCGAAAGGTCATCGCCGTAAGAGGACGGCGAGTGCCTGGGTGATGTTGACGGCGACGTATGTCTCGAATCACCACTCTCTTCTGCAATCATTGGAAAACAATGAAATGCTTTAATTCACTAATCAAGTGCACCAAAGCAATGAATAAAACATTTTGGATCGCTGTGCAATACATTTGTGCATGCTGCTTTCATAATCAGAATACCCGTTAGCATTATCATAGTTTGTTATCAATTCACTCAATAACTCATTATGATGATCAGCCAAGCTTGTGTTAAAAGCGATTTGATAGAGTTATAATAGATTGCAATGCGGACACCAATAAACTGTGTTAACATCAGTTGAAAATTAAAGTGAAAGATGTAGTTTCGTGCTTATTACTGCTTGTAATGTACGAGAAAGTAGGACAGCGAGTACGATAAGAGTATTTCAACTCGAGTATTTCATTTCATCAAGAACAAATGTGCATGAACATGAAACGTGCCGTTAACTTTACGACTATTCACATACTCCATTCAACCATTCATTCATTCACATTATGAGAACAATACTGGTAGTAGTGGTGCAACTTCAATTTTGTATTAGTGGTGCAGCATTGGAGGACAGTTACCTAATTTATATCCCTATGACGAATCACCTCCTTCCTTTCTCTCTGCAATTAAACGTTATCCACTTTTACATCAGGTTATGACCATCATCTTTTCATCTCCCAATATAAACAGTGCTTACACATTTAAATGAGTTATTGAAATGACATTGATAAACAAATTATTTCGATAATGAACTCAACAGTTGGGTATCATTGAAACTCGAAGTTGTGCACAAATTTTGCATTTTTTTCGCAAACTTTTTTCATTGTTCATGAGTAACAGAGAGTGAATAGAGTAATAGTTTGCAAAGGCTCAGTTAATGAACAGTAAAAAGCGTTAATGAGCGAAAAATACAACTGACCGGTATCTGTAATGTGACTTCGTCCTCCAATGACGTACCTCTGAAGTGAGGATTTACCCAATGAATTGTGCTTCTGAGGACGGGATCGTCGTGGTACAGGCATGGCAGACTTCTGCAGTTCATCTTTCGATGAGAAGCCTTCACCTTCCGAAGTTGAAACGTTCTCATCATCCGTACCAATACTCATCGATGACTGCACCTTTTCCTTGACCCATGAAGGCGTGATACGTGGACGTGGTGACTTCGTTCTACTGCAATAAAATCTTTATCAACTCTTGCATACTGCAACAGTCTGAACTGAAATACGACGAAGCATTTTTTCACACATTAGAACTCTTTCGTCTCATCACACATCTGATATACTAGTTTACACTTTTCAATTTGTTTCAAAAATTGAACTTAAAAAATGCTCGTTCAAATTAGACAACAACATCGCTGTTATGAGTTGTACATGATGTTGATGATTGACGCAGAGAATGCTGGGAACGAATGAGCATTGAAAGAGAGATGTCGAATCAACAAACTTATTCTGATCAGGTGTGCTGGGTAGTTGGCGATGGCGATGTGAGCTGGTGGCACCATTCGATGAGGAGGACGCTTTGCTGTGATGCTGCCATGTTTTTGAGTTGAACGGCGGTGATCGCACTTCACCATTATCAACTGGCCTTATGTAATCTGGTAACTCCTTATAGAACCACGCTCCAGACTTCTTCCACATCTTCAAATTATCCATCGATCCTTTCAAACTTTTGCATCAATTTCACTGCGCTCATCAAATACTATCAGGGAATCTTACGTTTTCGGCCCTTGATTCATGCACCTATCAAGAATCATGCACTCTAGCAAACAACTATGTTTGCTTTTGATGTGAAGTATTAAGATAAATTCATATTTCCGGAAGTGAACAAGACATTTTTCATCACTGAAATACATTGATAAAGGTATTTTAGTGGAATTCGAGATCAAATCTGTAAGGAGTGATCATCTAGTGCGTTATTTAAGGAAGTAAAATACTTGTTGGATTGATTCTTTAAAAACTGGAAAGTCTATGTTGAAAGGAAATGTAAAAGCAGTTAATGATAATTAAAAAGAGAATACTAGTGGAGTGAAACTGATCATCAAAACAGGATGAAAGATTATCGGAAGACTGATCAAATGATAGTGAAATTTAAGAGATTTCGAAAATGAACGGAAAAAGCAAGAAACTGATATGAAAAGATTCGAAGGGAATGAAGAAAAGAGAAATGCAATCGTATCGTTCATGATAAACCAAAATGCTATGCCATCGTCATCTGCATTGATTGCGCAACGATGCTAACAGCAACATTCCGTCGGCTTCAATTAACGACACAATCAGAAAAGTCTATAAACGAATCCAGTCCCAATGCCTCAATCAACCAACGGCCAAATGCAGATGACGGGGCACAATAAGGAATAAAAAAGCAAAGGATGCAAAACGATTACCGAAGCAATTGAAATTCACTTACTACCTCTCGATACTCGCTGCAGATTTTGCAAAGGAAGATATTTTGATGACGTACTGAATCGTACGTTTCAACGCCGCAATTCTTTTGACATACATACTGCAAATTAACCATATACTCATCAATAACAGCTCGCAATTCTTAATGATAATAAATACAACAACAGCAATACGAAGTATACAAATGAAAAGTGGCAATAATGAGCGAGTGAGCGAATGTTGTCAAACAAATGAAGACTGATTCAACAATTTGTTACTCAATTGAACTGAATGACTCGAAAAAGAAACCTTTCGACAATCGGAGCACATCGCCGCATAACTTTTTGACGCTAATAAACCAAAGTCAGTCGAACAAAGCAGGCACTGAGTTACGCCATTTCCTGTTGCACGATTACGCATTTTTTCCAATCTATCGACCATTTTCCTTGAAATATTCAGTTCATAAGTAATCGAAAATCACTTCGATTGAACTCTTCGATGGATGAATTCATTAAAAAGAGAACAGTGGGGCATTTTGAGTGATTTATGAAAGTTGTGAGCTTTATTATAACCAAATAGTCAAGAAATGTTCAGATAGAGCACTGAAGTATGACACTGTGGACGTCAGTGATGTAGGACAGAGAACAAATCCTTATAACTCGAACATGAACTCAAAGAATTGGAACGAAGTGCTTAGCCGTGCAAAAGTCAAGCATTCTACATGATTTCAATCTTATGCACCAAATGTATCCTTACTGAATGAGTCTCTCCTGTCACAAGAGAATACTGAAACTGAACATTCCACGCGCAACAAGAATTTACAAATAGAATTTCCTCAAAAGGAATTCAATCTCGACACGGGTGAATATTACTAGAAGACTGACAAAAGCTGTAATAATAAGAATCATCAATATCTTGGAAAATGCTGCAGAAATACTTTCAAAAGAAGTCACTTCTCATATTCATCTTCCAAAAATGGTTGATCATGACGAGCAATTCGCTGACTCCATCAATTCAAGTGAACAAATCAGCCACAATTAATAATTAAATGTATTGAGTGAAGGTGATTACTGCATGACCACAGTAAGGTTTATAATCGATGGATAAAATGCACATATCAAATGTAGAAAAAATTGGATATATAATATAACTAATAACTTTGCAAAAGGATATATAACTATGTGGATATATGATGTGAAAAGATCAGAACGATTGAAATGAAGTGCATGAAATATGCTACGATAATAAAATGCTGATGGCAATAAAAGCATTGGTTATCATATTCGATGAATAAAGACAAGGAATTGTGTCTGATGAGAGATGTGTATGAACACATTCTGATGTTGCGATGACCTTTTATGACCGAGATACCCAATCACAAATATTGACGGGGGATGAAGAAATAAATCAAATTTATCCGGTTGACTCTGCTTATGGCATTTTTCGATAGGATATGATGGCAATGGGAAGTGGCATCGTTGCGCAATTCAATTTTCACCATATTGTTTACATCTCAATCACGCCAATCTTCCATGACATCATCGGCACATAAATGACGATAAATATTGACAATTTCAAGTTTTGCCCTTATTTTTCTTAGTGTATGCAGTAATTGCTTGAGAATGAGCGAAGAAAATGAGTTTCAAACGAGAGAGTGCTTAAAAATCAGATTCATTCGAACAGAAATGAATTTAAAATAGAAATTGGACACCGTTTCGTAAACTTAAACTTCAAGCACTAATCTCAATTTTCTCATAATTAGATTCAAACTGCGAATTGAATGAACCAAAAACAGATGAAATCATAATACTAAAAGGCAGTTAACCTACTTGGATGATGGGTATCTTGCTGGTGGATATGAAATGGAAGACTCATGGTATGATGCGGAATGACTTCTTGGATGCATAGTAAAGCAGTGGACTGAATGAATCATTGTATGATTCGTTTCACGGTGAGCTTTCGCAGCAACGTAATTGTATCGCTTCATAAGGCTAATTCAGCCAACACTTTAAAATTAATTCAGCGCCCAAGACTGCATAAAACCGATAAGATGCGTTCATATAACAACAACAATAAAATATGAACGCATCTTATCGGTCTTAACTTGAGAGACGTTGGAAAATTCATGTGTAGAAAATTCATGATTGAAGAAAGACTCAACATAATGATGTGAGACATTTTGATTGCTATTCGTGGTAATTTCTTGGAGGAAAATGCATTGGAAATCACTTAAAATGCATTACTTATGTCAATATTAATTTTGTTGAAGACTTGCAATATCTTAATGAAATTTGAAAGAGTATTTGCGATTGCGGATTGGATTTTGTTTGAATTAGAACCGTTCTTCAAATGAACTTCCAATTTTAGTGAACATTCAGAAATGAAAGAAAGCAATTTGAAAGGAACAATTGTAATATTTGGAGTCCCATACTGACTGGAACCGGGCAAACGTTGATTACTAGAATCTGTTCTCAGCAAAGCTCTATCATTACATGAATGCGATCAGAGTTATTCCATTGAACAGCAGATTTTTTAGCAGATCACACAATCACACAATTATTGTGCAGATCACACAATTATTTGACGATCAGTCACTGAAAAAGCCATATGAATTCTGCACTAGTCCACAAATCAAAGGTTCAGTAAAAAATACAACGTAGGGAATTGAGATTCAACAGTGCCATGCAGCACATTCACACCTATTGCTTCGAATTTACATAAGTAAGTTAATATTTACTTCACATTATTCGTACGATAAGTGAACGCAAAAATTAAACAATTGGCTCAAATAAGAGGTGAGTTTGAGACTTACCCAATACGCTGCTGTTCAGTAAGTCGGCCAGCTTCGGCTCTTGCCAAAACGGCTTTGATATGCTCTTGTTCAGCCTCCGTAATACCGCCGTTCTGTTGCTTTGAGTTGGTCGGTGATCGCGCCGTCGCCGTGCGAACACTCCAACCACTTTTTAATCTTAAATAACAACGCCATCAAGCACGTTTCAATTCTCAATCATTTCAATAACTCCATGACCATATCAACAGCACATTCACGCTTGCTTGTAGTGGCATAATTTTGCAAGCAAGCATTCAATTGCCGACCATTATACCACTACTGAAAAGCAACGAATAATCTGCACTGGCTAAGTTGTTAAGTTCAACCATTATAATATACTAATTGCGTGCGATCATAACTCTCTTCTCACACAACACTATCATAAAAAACTTGCGATAAGCTCTTCTCACAGCACAGCTGTTCATTACTAATCCTACCATTCTATTGCAGAGCGGAATCAAAGAAATTTTTGTATAGTCATCGTTTAGTTATGCAATTTGATTATGTTATTATGAGCAGAAAATGACGGAATGAATTGCACTCTTGAAGACGGTGATGCATTGATATTGGATCATTCGACGGGAAATGTCACCAGATTTTCAGCAAACCTTTTCATGTATCACAAACAAGTCACCAACATCTTAACTAAAACATATATCCGACGACTTTTGGTAGTTATTTGAAGTGCTTTCGCAAAATTTTGGAAAAATTTTCGTTCATAAAAGATGAAGAACACTTTTTAGATGATGAGGATTGGTAGTATTATAATAATATATGCTGTAATCGCATTATGACATCAACATTTTCATCTCATATTGAATCACGATTAGAATGCAGAAATACTTTTGCTTTATTGTGTGATCAGTGTAGCTAAAAAAGCAGATGACGTGTATGCGCGTAGTGCATGCATCAAAAATGGGCAGTTTCCAAGCGTTTTTGGTCGAACTGGAATGGGACGCATATTTTAAAGGAATATTATAATGATGAAATATCATATTCAAAATAATAACGATGTGAGAGATGCACTTAACGATAATAGTATCAGATAACAGTGGCGATAACAGGATGGATATTGGTAACGATAAAACTTACTGCGCTCTGAGCTGTAGATGCCTATCGCTAGGACAAACCCATTTGTTCTGTGTTCCACCAATTTCCCAGTCGTTCATTAAATCTTAAATCATTAATAATTGATTAACTTAGTTATACGCCTGAATAGTTAAATTAATGAATGTGAATGCTCATTATCCAAACCAAATAAACTTTATTGCGTTTATAAATGAAAATTGCATTTCTTCGAAGGCACCAGCAGCTCAGTCAGTGTTGCAGAGCGGAATGAATTCACAGCTCAGTGTTGCAGAGCGGAATTCGATTGCTATTCACATCNTATATTACATGCACAAGAACATTAAAAAACATGCATAAAGCAAGAGAAAGACGAGGAGTACTGAACATATAAGCACAAGAATATGGAAAGGAACGATGCATTTGATGTGCTGATGCAAAAAGGAATAAATAAACGAGTGAATAAATGAGTAACATTCAAATGTTCAAACTATGGATATTATATATTGCTCAAGTGTAGAGTTCTTTCAAATAATAGTTGTTAATGAGAGGGATGAATGATTTACGGAATACTCAAGTGAGCACACTTCAATAGTTTGTTTATTGGCTCGGTTAGGTCTAGGATATAAATAAATTATAATTGTATCTGTAGGCATTATTCAAAAGGAATGCATATTTTTGAAGACTTGACTAATGAATGCTAATTAAACCCGATCTTTTTTGAGAAGCAAGCTCGCCGGAAATAACATTTCCATAGCAGTGACTCCCCAGAACAGGTGATTCGAACGACAAAAGACTCATTTTAATGAAAGTTTGATGAGAAGCTACAAAACTGAATATGTATGCTCGGATACATATCTAAAAACAAATATCACTTGCTCAGACAATCGAATGGTTTTCATACACTTCTAAAACCGAAANTTGTTCTTGTCAGTTGGCATACTCGCATGTGTATGGAATGTAATTGGCGAATTCTTAATTGAGATCATCTGAATTCAAAATCGAACAATTGTTGACAGTGAACTCAACCATGCGAAAAATTTTTTTCAGAAAGAATGTAACACTGAAATGATGTAAATTTCGTTGTAAATACTCGGATGAATCCACTCGGAAATGAGTCTGAACTTGATATTGAATGTTTATAGTTGAGTAATTCTTAGCACGTCGTTATATTCGTTCGTTAATGGACATTCGCCCTCTAGACTTATTTCAAATACATGTACGTGTGTACGTCCATCGATTTTGATCAGCTGGACGGACGGACACTCAACACTGGAATCGTTATTCAACAAACTGCACTGCAAGAAACCTTAATGACGAATTTTTTCGTGCTGCATAAAAACTACTTATTGTTGCGTTTTTGCACATAACAGGGCGCTTTTCCATCAAATTTCATTCACAAACACCCAGAATGGCAATTTCTTTTAACAATGTAAATCAGTTTTCGTATTGATTTGTACGATTAATTAAGGCATGTTTAAATTATACAGATTAGATCGTATTTACAGTTGACGGGCACTTTGGCATTTTCTAGCGACATAGACATATAAGGCTCCGTCAACGAAAAGCTATTAGGCTTGAGCTTGTTACGAATACATCACATGAGATAAACAAGCACATGTCTGGGTTCACCTTCGAGGATTGCTCTGTCAGTGTTTCATTAGAACGCACAAATTTTATGATCTGTCATTTGTGAGCGTAAATGATCATTTAGCTGTGACTTGTGCTGCAACGACAACACAGTCTAGATCAAGTCTTTTGTTAGGAACACAGAAAGTTTAATCACTTCCGACAATGAGAAAAATACCTCCTGAACATAACAAACGAACATAACGATTGTGGTTAGCAACTAAACGAAGCGACTGCTGCCAGACCAGTAAATGGGATCAAAAAGTGAATAAGTTTCGAGGCCAATCTCATTAGAGATGGCACTGATAATCAACAATTTATCAAAAAGCAATTGATAACAACGAATGTTTCACATACCGAGTAATGTTGCTGGAAACGTGCGCTGTGTTTTAGCCATCGAACTGATCGATAAAGAGTCGCCTAAGTAAACCAAGCAGTAATTGAAGGTGTGATCAAATCTCTCAGAAGCTGGCTACAACTAGTGAACGACGACAGCTACAAGCAATATGCGCAGCCTGAATGATGTATGCTATCTGCACGTTCCGTATAGCATCAGCATCGTGCCATTATTGAAGCGAATGAATCGATCACTTTTACGCATACGCTCATACATGCCTATATCCTCTATCCATCCATGCATCCATTTGTTTATGAGTTAGTTATGTGTCGACGAATGTGGATCATGCACATAAATGCATCAAATACTTCTTAATTTGCTCACCTAATCCCCATAATAGCATTCCATTCATTAACAATCTACGGCATTCTTGCGTATCATCCACTCAACCCACTCGCGATTCACTCATCCACTCGGAAGTAGTTTTTTTC